TGATAATAATCACCATTATCTCCTTCCACGGAAAAAAATATTAGGATTTTTTGGCGAAATGCCTGCAAAAGTGGTTGAGCCACAGTCTGAGGTCGCCTTGTCATCAGCAGAATGTCACACAACTTCGACAGAAAGCACGCCGATTTCCGTTGACGCAAGTGTAAATTATTGTACAATCCCTCCTTCTAAATTTACAATTTTACAGATTTTCTAAACATTTTTGAATTTGCCTTCTAAAAATTCATCTTCTTTCGTCAGAGAGTGGAGCAGATTTCCATCTGTGATGCTCCAAGAATGGATGCAGGAACAATTGAAGATGTTATCACATGGATGGGATACGGAAAGCAGCGACGCTCCAAGGCTTTTGCATTCACTACTACAAATCATGATTCCAAGTCTGCTACCGAGATGTCGCTGTTGCACCACAAAAGCAAACGACGCTCTTCCGCAACAGCGACGGCAGTAACCGTAGCAACGATAAGCAATGACAATAACAGTGACGCCAGAGCATTCCAAATGCTACTCAACTTCTTTGACAAAAAACTGACGAATGCTCTGCAACAGAGAACATTTCCCATCCATGTGAGTATACTGTATAATCGCATTTACTCGAAAGTATACACACCAATAAACGTGAATATAATTCACATCAATGATCAATAAATTTACAGTATTGAAAAATTGTTTCGAAAATACTGTACTCGAATTAGTTTTTTTATTTCACCGCGTCTTAGAATCTAATGTATTTTGATCATTCTCGATTTCTTCTTCTGAATATCTTAATTGTAACATAAATACTTAACAATATACAGCAGCAGGTAATTGAAATCATTTTGAAAATAAATATTCAGAAAATGTGACAATCCTTTTATATTATTCAATTTGAAAAAAAGTGTTGAATCGAAAGGGTATCTTTGAAGTACAGTACTGCATGATAATTCTGGACTCGAATTAGGCAAAGATCATTAGATTATGCATGGACATTATTTCCATTTGGAATGTTCAGAAAATTACTGTAAGCCAATAATTGCTCCAATACTCATAAAGATTTAAATCTTTCAATTGAAACGCATCCACATAATCGTAAATATTATATTATATTTGCAAGTGTTTTTGGGTCATTTCCTAAAGAAATCATTAAACAGTGGATGGGCTCATAAATAAAAGTTGCGCAAATAACTTCATCTTTTTTTAATGCTTTATAAAAGCCTATTAACCATAGAAAATGAAAAACGAAATTTGTGTGACCATTAATATGATTATGGAAGCATAAATAAAATATTGTACTGCTATTACATTGAATAAGGTATGTTGCAATTTTTATAAAATAACGTTTTCCCATGAATTATCCAAAAAAGTTTGTACATTTTTGCTGAACTTAAACTGCTGGGACATCCTGTAATATACTATACAGTAATCAGAAATGTCTCGCATTCGAGTTGATGAGATACTTCAAAGTTGAATTCATTTCATACTTGACAGAAATCCGATAAAACAAAGGCCTCATTGGAATTGGCAAAGTCCACGTCGAAGAGCATCAATTCCGTATCGAACCCGAATTACTCCCTTTGGTTCGCCTGTTTTCTCGCATTCTTGATTTCAGCTTCTGTTTTTCATGTGCTTTTCATCGCCGACATTCCTCCGAGTTATTGTCGCAGTCCGTGGCATTATTACTTGAATCCCGACTGCTTCTCTTATACTTGAAAGAAATTAAATGTGACAAGGAATTATTGAAAATATTTTTTTCAGGTACAGCGAGGAATGAACCCGAAGTCGTGAAAATTGAGTTCGTTGCTTTATAATCAACAATAATAACAAAACATCACAAGAATCGGCTCGAACAAAAAACATGAGCAAACTGATGGTAACTGAAAGTTTTTAACAAGCTACTATATTGGTCATTTTTCCTTTGGTGTTTCTGAAAATATAAACCGAACTTATGCGATAATCATTCCGCTACGAACAAAAATATACAGGAATTATGTATATTAAGAAATAACCCGCAAAACATGAGCATGCGAATGAATACGCTTCACTTCCGTAAAATGTGTTGTCCGAAAATATCTACAGTACCTTTTCTTTTTAACATTAGATATGTAGAATAAAAATTAATAAACCGCATAACCTTAAAAAAATATTTTGTTATCAAAAACTATTCACTCATCAAGCGTCAGCAATCGCGACTTAAATTTCTCAAGCATTTCAAATATAATCATTTAAAAATTATTCAGCTAGCATGATCATCTGGATGATCATGATTATTTTTCTAGACGCATATTTAATTATATGCAGTGATTCATTATGGAAACATATTTTTCGTCGATATAATTGAGGAACCCTGTATATCTGATGTGACATACTTTTATATCCTTCCATAAATTCTTCAAGAAAAATTAAAAAAAATTCTTAAAAGCATTACGCAATTTAATAATAAATTCACTACTTTCTGGTATTTCATCCACGTACGAGACTAAAGTGATACTATTATTCAAAACAACAAAACCATGTGATCCTGCCCAAGTAAATCACGAAAACCGATAATTTTCTCTATATGCAGTACTCGTAGAAATCAACACGTAAATATAATTAAAACTATATTTTATTTCAAAGGAAAATTGCAACCCTATATGTTGTGATTCAAAGTATGCCAAGATTCCTGAACAGTTCGGCTAAAATACCTTCTGTACGTATTTACGCCTTCGCAAATTTTCAAAATGAAATTGCCATTCGAAACGCTGCATTTTGTTTTCTTTTAGATTCATAAATTTAAATTATCAAGTACCTGAAAGTTACTACGATCAACAATTTATTTCAATGTACAGTACGCTTTTATTCAGGTTGACAACGTCGTTAGTGGGACCATAATTTTTTAGTGGCATCAAGCGGGGGAAAATAACGTCAAGTATGAAGTGCGAGGCAGTTTTCCTGAGATTGAAGGCGTTGCAATTGGTCTCAATTCCCGACATCATCTTCTGAGGTAGTTGGCACGGATGTCATCGTTTTGCATTGCCGTAGTGAGCCAAGGAATGTATCGGGCCGTGTTCATGTAGATACCGGAAGTTAATGGCCTACCGCACCCTTTGCCACCGGACACGATTCCGGCCAGGATGAACCTCCCTTCTTCTCTGACAATGAGTGGACCACCGGAATCACCCTGAAATAATAAGAGAAAAATTGAAAATATATACTTTCGTACACCGAAGATACTTTCCTTGAGAGAAAAATCAAAGTCCTTATTGAGCTTTTGATGAAGTTATGCTGGTGAACTCTGTCTACAACGAAATTCTCTCGACAAGGATTTTTTCTTGTCCCCTGAATTTTGTTGTGGTTCAAAGTAAAAGGGGTTCTCTACAACCCCTAGCATTTCATTGTAGAAAACCCCTTTACTTTGAGCCACCACGAATTTCAGGGGGCCTTCTATACAGAGAATTTATTTGTAGAAAGAGTCCAATTAACTGCATCACTTTATTAAGAACTTAAAGTACATTTTTTTATCTGAAGATCTGAAGGTACGTCACCAGATTATCTCTAGAACGATTTTTTCTGGTCCCCTGAATTTTGTTGTATAGAACTCCTTTTTATGACCAAAAAAATTGTCACGAAGAGAAAATCTTTGTGGGCAAGATCTTTGTAGACAGAATATTAAGCGTAGTAAAATTGTTAATGCATTGTATCACTTGTATATTTAAATGTCTCATTTTTAATAGTTTAATAGCTCATGCATGAAATTCATTATTTACATATACCATACCACAGTATTTCTTACAAATAAAAATGAGGAATGTTAATAAGAGAAATTTTCTCACATGACAGGCATCTCTTCCGCCTCGGATCCTGCCCCCAGCACACAAATGGTTGCTGCTGAACCCATACCGGAAGTAGATGAGGTAGCACATGAATCTAGGCAAAATTGGCAGCGTCACCTGCCGCAACACACTTGCTTGTGGTCCACCTGGAGATGGAAGGCAAAAAATAAGATTTGACGCGCATATTTTTTTTTTTGCACACAACAATGAAACTCAAAATATTTAATCGAAATAAAAATCAACATATCAGCCTATCGTCATGGAATATGCTTCGAATTTATTTAATGCAAAGGATTTTTTCCTCCAATTCATTTCGCCTTCTCAAAAACTTATTCAAGGCTTACCAGACGTTCCTGATTTTTAAAAAAGCTTCTTTTAATTTTTTTCCTTGTATTAACACTGGAAGGAAACCTACGATTTTATATTTTCTACCGAAAAGATTTCAGAAGTTTATGAGCAACCACTTGCATTCGATATGGAACAAATTTTAAAGCCTCTGCACGAACGCATTATTATCATAGCAGGTGGTGATCAAGAATGAGAAGGAAGGAATGTATGATGAATAAACCCTTCCTGCTTTGTACCTTATCGGTTCCAAGATGCCCAAATGATACGGCATATCTATGTGATCATTTCTCATTGCTCTTCCTTCTTAATTGCTTTTCTAAAAAGGCAAGTGTCGGAAAATCAATCAAGTTTCAACGAGCTGTTTCGGAGCGGCGTGAGGATGCTCTTGATTTGCATCTTTGGAAAGCGTCGGATCTGACCTACAGGAAGCACACATGATTAATCTTCGATGGGGAAGAAGTTCTTTTTAAAGCTCACCCAAAAAGAAAATGCTAGTTTTTTTTTTAAGTTTTTCAATGAAGTCCTTATGATAGGGTTCCTGTTCTATTATAATTTATCAAGCGAATTTTTTGAAGCATCGAAATGCCGTTAAGAAATAAATTGTGGATTGTACCCACTTTCAAGACATGTCAGAATTTTTGCAACAACTTCTGCTGGGTTTCTCTATTTGAGGGTTATTTCCTGACATTACGAATTTAGATAGATTTATAACCGTGTGAATTTAGTTATAAGGAGTGTATATACTGGATATTACAGCATTAACTTCACTGCACCATGTCCTGAACTTAAGTTGAAGACAGTTGGAAAATATGCGGCACTGTACATTAATTTTTCTGTTTTCAAGGATGGGTTTACTTTTACTTTGGATTCAACCTATTGTAAGTGCAATTTTTTTGAAAGCAGCTCCAGATTGTATTTTTCCTGGAACTGATGCCAATTCAAGCTAAGTAGATAGTACAATGCTTGATGCATTTTTGTCCTGCATTTATTACAATTGAACCCCTCAACGTTGAATTTGAAGGGTCTCCAAAAATTTCGCGTAGGATATTTTTGCTTGAAGGAGAATAGTCTGATTTTATGTGGACTAAATGCAGGGAAATTTATTTTCTGTCCCGTTTAGAAAAAGTTTTTATCATTCTTGTGTGCCATACCTTCAATGCATATACTGTACGAATCTCTCATGGAAAATGTTACAGGGATAATCTGCATCTGGTTTCTTCGTTTCCTTGAAAAGGTTTTCTGAAATGTCCCCCCGTGATAAAACAAAGGCCTTAAAATTTGATCAAATGAGGTTAATGCCATGCAAAATGTTTGAGTCGGGGAAATTTAAAATGCACATGCTTTGATGGTATTGACCCGGGGATTCGTTGGAAATTTTAATTATGCAGGTCAAAATTTCAGAGGTTCAACTGTACTTCAAGAAAATTAAACGTCCTGCACCTCAACGACGTATTTCATTTTTTATGAGAGCAGAGATTGTTTTTCCATCAATTATTCATGCTTTCCTTTGTTTATTTGTGAATGGATTTATGAATACAAATTACCGTATTCCATTTCTTGATTTTCCAAGATTCGATTTTTTATTATCTTGACAAAATCACCCAGATCACCCGGTAATTTTTCAATTTAACGTTGTTACCCATACCATAGCATGGAGAGCAGGCGTTTTTAATGAACATTTGAAAAACACTAACCAAAAGATATTATCTAAGGTTTTTCTAAAGATGACCGAAAAAGAACCTTGCGTTTTTTTTTTACAAATAAGGGACCATGGCACCCCTGCTAATTATTAATATTATTAATCATCCTGCAAAAACCAGTTCTGGGCCTAGAAGGCCTCAGCGCCAAGGAACAAATTCCTTTATTGTATGATGATACCCAGCATTGTCTTTGATGCAACCAGAATTACCCAATAAGAAACCAAGATTTCCCACCAAGAAAATCAACTTTTTAACCTGTCTTCTCTCAACGGAAAACCTGAAGAAAATATCCTCATTCCAGTGAATGTGCTTACTTGAGCTGTTAAAGTTGTGCATCTTGCATTGAATCAAACCTTTCTTGTGTTTTTGTGTTTATAATTCAAAGTGTCTTGAGTTGATTTAACTACAATATTCTTTTGGGCAATTATTAAAGGCTCAATTCTTTTTGGAGTCTCTGGAGAGGCCCGTTCGAGGCTGATTTACTAATCTCAATTTCTTATCTTATTTGTCGAGAACTTCTGTCTCTAACTGTTGCGATTGACAAAAAGGAACGGAGATTCAGATCATGCTTTAAATAGTTTAAAAAAAAGTAGATAACGTGGGCTTGAATAATAGAGAAAATTCCTCCAAAGGAGAAACCCTGATGTTCCTCCACGTCTCGAAAAAGCAATACGTCCTCGTGTTGATAAAAATCTACAAAAAGATAATAATCTTCAGCAATGTTGAACCAACATTGCCGGTGTCCAGTCTATTAATACAGATCCGACAACAGCAGCCTGCCTGTTGAGACAAGCAACACATCCCTTATCGCATCATCGTCGTCTTTTCAGTTCATTTTCCACGTGGAAACTTAATGCATTTAAATTTTATTCCGAAGTAACGAAA